TACACCTAATGCTTTGCCTGATATGGTTTGAGCCATTGGGCGCATTCCTATTCTCCAGGTAAATTCTTTCTTTTTAAAAAAAAATTTATGACCAATTCAACCAATTACTGGTCATCTAATTACAGCTATTTCCCACAGTGTAAAAATAAAAATTAAAAAAATGAGGAAACAAATGAGGAACTAAACTAAATTGGAGTTGGAGGAGACAGTACACTCCAGTTCCCATGGTGCCCATCTCTCCAAAATCTTTGAGCGTACCAGTGGGTGCGCTCCATCACTCAGGACAGATGGACATGAAGCATGGAATTTGGGAATTAATATCTCCTCCACAACCTGCTGCTTTAGCCAGGCCCTGGAGCAGGTCCATAGGGAGATCCTCTGACCTGATTGATCCCTTCTACACTGGCTAAACCTAAAAATATCATAGAGCTGACCTGACTGCAGTCTTTCCCTAAATGTTTCAGCCCATTGGTGAATAGCTATGGTCTTTTTCCTAGGGAGGGCGAGTCCAAAACTAGAGGGCTTAAGGTGAGAGGGGAAAGATTTTAAAAAGGACCTGAGGGGTAATTTTTTTCATGCAGAGAGTGGTACGTGTATGGAACGAGCTGCCAGAGGAAGTGGTGGAGGATGGTACAATTACAACATTTAAAAGGTTACGTGAACTGGAAGCGGTTAGAGGGATATGGCCGAAATGGGACTAGGTCAGATTGGATATCTGGTCGAGTTGGACTGAAGAGTCTGTTGCTGTGCTGTATGATTCTGTTTTTGTTGTGTGGCTGGGGGAGGAAGCAAATGTAAGAAATGTCTAGTCACGATGCTTCAGCTATTGTTAACACAGCAGACTTGGTGAAGCAGCTGCCCTTTTCCTTTCCATCTTTTCATACACTCATCGTGCCAGTGGCATTGGTATTGAGTAACCTGACACTAATCTCTCGTTCTCATTTTCTTTCCCTCAGCCGACTTTGGCTTCTGCGCTCAGATTACACCAGAGCAGAGTAAACGCAGCACAATGGTGGGGACACCATACTGGATGGCCCCTGAAGTGGTCACGCGAAAAGCGTACGGCCCCAAAGTAGACATTTGGTCGTTAGGAATCATGGCGATTGAAATGATTGAGGGGGAGCCTCCATACCTTAATGAGAACCCCCTCCGGGTAAGATTCTGTGTTTCCTTAATTTGCTTGATTCAAAACATTATTGTATTTCAGAATTCCAACTAGTCTGAAAGACCTAATTTCATGAGCAGCTTCCTGATATATCTGATGTAGGGGCTAGGTTTCGACTCTGAGGCCTCCTGGTGTATATTCAGACTTCAACTCCTGCCCAGACCTAGTGGGATTGGTATCCTGTTGAGCGACAAGCAGTAGGAACTTGGCTGGCCAGAAATCAATGGCTGAGCCCATGGTGATACCATCGAAGCCTACATAATGACTCATCAGTCTTTTTGGCAGGAGGGAAGGGGAGCTGTTATGCTGAGTCGAGTTTAAATTTGCAACTAGTCCGATCATAGTGGACCATGCGCACACACCCTCGCAACACATGCACACTCACACACACACTCACTCAACACACGCACACATTCACCTCTCAGCCACCCACACCTCCATTTCTTATGGGGGCTGGCTAAGGATATACGTTGGGGCCTAATTTATTTGTAGTCTCGTACTTTTTCCAATCAAGTTTTTCAGTGAATACACTTTTTATCCATTCCAGACATTTATCAGTTTTCACAGCAAATTGTGGCATTTGTTGTGTTCTAAGTGTACCTTCCCCAACCCATTCAATGTCATGGCTCAGCAGCTTAGAATTGCATAAATCATGAAAAGAAATTTTTGGCAACAGCTTCAAGTGGGACAGAAAGTCAACTATAGTCGAGTTTTTGTTTTCTGTTTATGTCACGTATTAATTGTACTTTTTTGGTCATTTCACTTCACTAGGCATTGTATCTGATAGCAACAAACGGCACTCCAGAGCTACAAAATCCCGAGAGGCTGTCGTCTGTATTCAGGGATTTCCTGAACCGTTGCTTGGAGATGGATGTGGAGAAGAGAGGTTCCTCCAAGGAGTTGCTTCAGGTTAGTTAGGTCTTAATGTTAGTGGTGGTCTGTTACAGAACATTCTGAGTTTCGCTCTAATCAGGACAAATACAAGAATGCCAAATTTCAAATGAGCACTACAGTTTATCAGAGGTTAATTGGATGGCCCTTTAAACAGCTAGTAGAAAAATGATAGACCAAATGCCCTACTGTACTGTAAGCTTGTTACTGCAGCTTAAAGAGTAACATTGAGGATGAGTTGCATGAGCTTGGATTATCTTTAGAAAACTGAGCGGTTATCTAATTGAGTTGTGTAAAGTCAAAGAAGTTTGGTTGGATAGATACAGAAAAGCTATTAACTGCAGAAGTGGAATCCAAAACGCATCTTAAAATGAGAACTGAGCACGCCTTGTGTCGATGCAGAACTTTTTATGCTCAGAACAGCTTTGTTAATTTACTTTTGTAGTTAAAAGTAAAGTTACCATAGTCCTACTGGGCCATAGGGCTGCGCTCTCATTAATGGGAGACAATTGGTGGTGGTTTAACCAGCAGTCACCAGGCCTCTGGTGAGGGGAGAGCTTGAGAAGGAGAGTCCTTTGTGGTAACCTCAGCCAGTGTGGGAATTGAACCCATGCTGTCGGTGTCACTCTGTATTGCAAACCAGCCATTCAGCCAATAAAACCTCCTCATCTACTCTTGAAGTACAGTTAGTTGTAGCATAGGAATTTGCACACAGTAAGCTTACCCAAAAATCCACAATAAAAGTAGTAAAAATCAGCCAGGGCAACAGGGCGAACTCCCCTTTTCTGTTCCACGAATAGCAATATGAGTCTTTTCAGCCTGCCCGAGAGGGCAGGCAGGTTAAGATAACAGTGTGGAGCTGGAGGAACAGAGTAGGCCAGGCAGCATCAGAGGAGCAGGAAAGTTGACACTTCTTTCCAAAGAAGGGCCCCGACCAAAAACGTCAGCTTTCCTGCCGCTCTGATGCTGCCTGGCATGCTGTGTTCCTCCAGCTCCACACTGTGTTATCTCTGACTCCAGCATCGGCTGTTCTTGCTATCTCTGGGCAGACAGTTTCTTGGTTTAATACCTCATCCAAAAGATTTCAACTCCAATAGTGCAGCAGTCCCTCGGTACTGTGTTAGAAATGTGGGCCTGAATTTTGTGCTTTAGTCTTTGGAGTGGGACTTAGGTTTTTAAGATGCTAAAGGGGATTGACAAAGTATACGTAGAGCATGTGTTTCCCCTTGTGGGTTTGGCTTTTGGTTATGGGGTAGCAAATTAAAACAGATGAGGAAGAATTTTTTTTTCTCTCAAGGGGTCATGGATCCGTGGCATTCATTTGCCCAGAGTGTGGTGGTTGCCAGGGCACTGAATAAATTTAAAGAGGAGACAGACAGATTTTTAATTAGTGAAAGGTTAAAAGGTTATGGAGAGCAGGCAGGAAAGTGGTGTTGAGGCCAAGATGAGATCAGCCATGATCATATTTAAATGGTAAAGCAGACTCAAGAGTGCTCAATTGCCTACTGCTGCTCCTGGTTGTTAATGTTCATAAACCGATAACTGTAGGATTCAGAGGGAAAGGTGCTTCAACTCAGTCACGGCTTCTTGTAGTTTGAGTTAGAGATTGCGCAGGAGGCTTTGCATATTAAAAATAGACAGGCAAACCACTTCCATTGTGCTTTAGGAAAAGAATCGCATTTGATTAATTATTTTTTTCCTTTTTATTCTCTTCTACCAACAGCACCAGTTCCTGAAGCTAGCAAAGCCATTGTCCAGCCTGACCCCACTGATCATTGCCGCAAAGGATGCAGCCAAGAACAATCGTTAAAGCCACGGGGGATCAAGCAGAGGGCCCCATTGTCCATCTCGATTTGCAAACCGGAGCGGCCCGCTCTCCACGACTGAACCATTCCTGAACCCTACAATGCAACCATTCCTGACCCAGAGCTCCTCCACTTCAACCCTTTTCATAGCCAAATTCCAGGAAAGGGGGTGGGAGGTGGATGGGCTGGGTGTGAACTGAGGGGAGGGGGAGAGAGAGAGAGAGCACTGTTGGGTTGTATCTCTGTTGTGCACTCTAATGCACAACAGTTAACACATGGGTGAAATTCCTCTCTTGTCTGAAACGGATGTAGTGATCTCTCTAAAGTGTTGGATAATAGTGCATTACGCTTAGTACATTGCAGCCTTTCAGATTGTAATGTTGGATAATTGGGTGGGGTGCTGGTTGTGACAGAGAGAGGAGCCTGTGAATTATTCCATCTGAACAATAAACTGTTGACTTGCACCCAACAAAATGGGAGGTACTAGCTGCTGGGTGTTTTTTTGTACGTTTTCGAAGCATGGTTTCTCGACGTGTGTCAACAGCAAAATGCTTTTGTTTTTTTTTTGTTTTGTTTGTTCCTCGCCCCGTCACGCTCGTGAATAGGTTTTGCTTTTCTCCCTCTCTTTCGGCATCAATCACTTTGATTTATCAGTTGCTTCGCTGGCTTTGGTTCAAGGCTATTCTGAAATCACCGAGAATGTATGACAGGCTGTTTATTAATTATGTACATGGCGTAGTGATCGAGACTGTAGTTTCAAAGCACTCAGTGCAGTCTGACATGTAGTTTGTTTTTCTTTTGTGCGTGCCTCCCTTCCCCATTAAATATTTGTTTGTACCAGTTTTCTGAACACTACGACCCCAAGAAAAGTGGTGCCATACATCTGCCTTGAGCGACTTTCATGCTGCTAAATTTTGAAAATGTCTATAGTGTACAAAACTATGGAATTTTAATTCCTGGGGGATAAAGAAATAAAAGGGTGTGTTATAATAATTCTGAAATTGTTTTTCTGTTTGGGAAGAGTGACTTGGGGTGCAATGATTTACACAAGAATGGTAGCACCATTCGGTGAGCATTTTAATTTGGTGGGAAGCTTTGGACATCTCATTGCACTTTGACGCAAGGGCTGAAATTAAATTCCTTTTTAATTCAGATGCTAATGTGATCATACTGCCTTGAGAGGGTTGTAGCAACAGATTCGATAAAGATTTTCAATAGGGGATTGTATAATTACACGAAGAAGAAAAAGAAGTGCAGACCGTCTAAGGAAAGGCCAAAGAATGGAGTTAACTGGATCGCTTTTCCAGCAGATGCATGATGAGATCAATGGCTGCCTGTGGTCTGTTACATTTTTACAGGCATTATGAAACTCTCCCTCAATGTCCCCCTCTCGATCTGAGGCTTTGTCACAGTTTTTCACTAACTGATGTGTTGTGGACCAGACCAAACCTCCTCAAAATATTCAGAAGATGGTTTAGACCCTAATTTTTTTTCTTATTTTAAAGGTAAATGTAAAGTGTTGAGTTCCAGATGCAATTCGATTGGCCAAACTATTGGATTGAAAGTAACACATTCTTTATTCATCCACTACAGTTAAAGTACCACAAAAGGAAGATGGAATTGAAATGACTTAACTCTGTTGGAAAGCTTAACAGAATACTAGATACAGTAACGATTACTAGTTAACTGTTCCAGTATAGTGACATCCCATAAACACACCCTTGGCAAAAGGAAATTCAGAAAACAGATGGTCTGCTACTGGGGTTGCATGTGAGACAGAGAAATCCCAGCTTGTGGCTGTGACCAAGAGAGGGAAAGAATAGCTTTCACTTCTTCAGGACCCCAACAGCATCTGCTGAAAGCTAAAGATAAAAATCCCGGTTCTGTGGGTAGGAGCTTGACCACAGCCATTCAGGCTGTTTCTATTATTCCGGGTTTTTTAAAAAAAAACCCAAGGCCTCTCAAGGTGTTTACTATAACTGCTCATTACCTCTACCTCTACCCTAAAACCTCTCCCAACAAAAAGGACAAAATAACTTCTTAAAGTCACAGTATCATCACACATGGTTAGAATTGAAAAGTTTGGTTGAAAGTCAGTGGTCAAGACTTTGTCACCTCACTGGTTTGTTCCTCCAACACCTTGGCAATGTCCTCTTAATAGTATGGATGGAAAATCATTCAATTCTGAATATGCACCTTCTTCCCTAGATTCTTATTTCTGTATGATATGTGATATGGTTACAATTAAGGCATTTTGGTGTGGTGGGGCCACATTCATAATCTGAGGTTTGCCGGAGGGAAGTCTGTTGAAGTTCACCATACTGGTTGCAAATTGAAATCTGATGCATGGCATCATTATCATTTCCCAGATCCTTTCTGAGCCCCAAAAACCACCTGATATGCAGCAATATCTGCAGTTCACTCATGGTCACTGGGTCAGGAAGTCCTGGAATTCCCTGCCAGACAATTCTGCAGGAATATGTTAGCTTGGGAATGGGTAATAATTACCAGCCAGTAATGCCCGCATCCCAAGAATGATCAACTGGGGGGAAAAGAAGGAAAGATGCTTACCATTGTTGAAGAGAGAGCTGCAGCTTTTTTTTTCCTCATTTGTTGATGGAATGTAGGTGTTGTGGCTTGGTCAACATTGTTCGGTACACCCCTAATTACCCTGAAACAGGTGTAAATGAGCTGCCACCTTGCTCCCCTATAATGCATTTGGTGAACAATGCTATCAGGAAAAGAGTTCCAGGATTTTGACAAAGTGATATATTTCCATGTCAGGATGGTGAGTGGCTTGGAGAGGAATTTGCAGGGGGTGCAGTTCCCAAGTATCTGCTGCCTTTGTCCTTCTAAATGGAAGTGGTCGTGGGTTTGGAAGGTGCTGTCTGAGGATCTTTGGTGAATTTCTACAGTGCATCTTGTATACAGTGCACACTGCTGTTACTGAGCATCGGTGGTGGAGGGGGTGATGTTTTGTGGATGTGGTGCCAATCAAGTGGGCAGCTTTGTCCTGGATGGTGCTTAACTTCTGGAGTGTTGTTGGGGCTGCACTCATCCAGGCAAGTGGGGAGTGTTCCATCACACTCCTGACTTGTGCCTTGTGGATGATGGACAGACTTTGGGGAGTGAGGAGATGAGTTACTCACTGCAGTATTCCTAGCCTGTTGTAGTTTTAGCATTTACATGGTTAGGCCAGTTCAGCATCTAGACAATTGGTGTCCTGATGATGTTAATCATGGGGGACTCGGCAATGATAATCCCATTGAATGGTTTGGGCTAATGGTTGGATTTGCACTGCACAAGTACCAGGCAATGTTACTTACCAGGACATTGTCCAAATCTTGTTACATTTGAATATAACCTCTTCAGTCTGTGTCCAGGTGTAAGGAATGGGATAGTGTAATGCTGATGTGATGACATGTGATCATCTGAGAATAAAGATACAGACTTTGAGAATCTTTAGGCTGCGGCTACAAATGATTTAACCTGACGGTTATGGTCTTTGACTTTTGGGAACATAAGAAGAAAAGTCATGGAAGAAGTCCAAAAAATGTTTTTCTCTCATGGTACTGCTGAGGTATTGTATCCCAGTATATTGGTGAGCATTACAAATCAACAGTGGGGTGCAGGTAAGTGCCCATCCCTAGCTGCCCCGAGACTATGCTGGTGAGGCTTTTCTTGCAGTTTGTGATTATGGTGGGATAACTTGCACTGCCCACGTGGGAGGGCGTTGAGTCAATTGGGTCACCTGGGTCTGGTGCCACCTTTTTGAGGTTGGGGGTGATGGATTCCCTTTTCAAGGGCACATTAGTAAAAACCTTTCAGTGACAATGCAGCAGCTATTAGGGAGAAGTTAAATGTGGGGAGGTGGGGATCCTGAGGAAGATGGGATCGGTGATATGAAATCATAGGGTTAAACACTCATTGTTTTGAGAGATGTTCAATCCAATTCTAGAATGCCAGCTGCCTCTCTTTGTACGCAGTTTCCAAATAAAATTGAACATTCGATTTGATGATTACGATGCCTTGTGAACCTGTTGCCTTGGTTTCCAAGTGATTTTTCAAATGACTGTTCTTCAAATGTTAGTCATAGTGAGCTTTTCGTGATTCACAACTGAAGAAATTATACGCTTCAGCTTATTCAAAACCAGTCGATCCTTTCTTTTCTCCTGCGGAGTTGGACAGCACAGCCTTGTCTGGTCTGATTTTATTCTTTTTCTGAAGCTGTCCTGATCATGTTGTGATCATGCTTGTGAATGACAGCCTGGCCCAGTCTCAGGGAAGCTCGTAGCTCCGTTTTCATTTCTTTGAAAAGTTCTTTCTCTGCAGCTGAGCATTGCAGGCTCTGCTGGGAGTTATTGCCTACTTGTAATTGCCCTTGAGAAGGTAATGGCCATGAGCTACCTCATTGAAACCACTGCCATCCTGTAATGTAAGTTTGTGTTCCACAGAGGTTGAGATTGGGATCCGAGTGCAGTACAGATAGGTTGCCTCATTGGCATAGGACCTACCCTTCAGATGCTAAACCAGGACCACCTTTGCCTATTGGGATTGGTAATAGATATGCCAACTCTGGGGGTGGGTGTCTATGACCTCCTGCCTATTGGTGAGTATCTATTGTCTCAAGTTGCCCAGCAGCCTCCATCCTTACCCCCCCCCCCCATTCATTTGTATATCATACAGGGTTTCTGTTTTGCCATGGCCAATTGGAAAAGGAACAGCATATTTCCTGCTACCAAGTTGGATTAATCTTAAGACTTGGTGAACCTTCTCAGATTTTCCTACCAATTGGGAGACGTTGGCCATTCGGCCTCCAAGCCTGCTCCACCTTTTGACAAGGTCAGGACTGATCTGTGTGTTCTGAATTCCATGCTCCCATTTACCCCGATACTCCTTTAATAAGAATCTATCCAACACTTCCTTCTCCAAATTGTACAAAGTTCAGGCTGCAGCACTGATCTTTGTGGCCCATCACTTGTGATAATCTTGCCAAGTAGAAAAAGACCCATTTATGCCTTTTTTTTATTCACTCATTCACAGGATGTGGGCATCACTGGCTAGACCAGAATTTGTTGTCCATCCCTAATTGCCCAGAGGGCAGTTTTGAGTCAACCACATTACCAAGGGCCTGAAGTCATATGTAGGCCACACCAAGTAAGGATGGCAGTTTCCTTCCCTGAAAGGTATTAGTGAACCATATGGGTTTTTCCCCTACAATTGACAATGGTTTCATGGTCATCATTAGACTCTTAATTCCAGATTTTTTGTTTTGTTATTGAATTCAAACTTTACCATCTGCCATGTTGGGATTTGAACTCCAGTTTACCAGAACATTACCTAGGTCTCTGGACTAATAGTCCAGCAATAATACTGCTAGGCTATCACCTACCCCCTGTTTCCTGTTAGCCAGTCACTCTTCTGTCCATTTCAATATGTGACCATGCACTATTAGCCTATCTACAATAGCTATTGATGTGGCATCTTATCAAACCCCTTCTGGAAATCTAAGTACCTTACATTTGCCAGTTCCCTTTTATCTACAGCATGTGTTATTCCTTCAAAGAACTCCAATAAATTGGTTAAACATTATTTCACTTTCAAAAACTCATGTTAACTCTGCCCTCCTCCTGCTCCTCTGATGCTGCTTGGCCTGCTGTGTTCATCCAGCTCTACACCTTGTTATCCCCAATTACCATGGACCTTTTTGTGCCTCGTTATAACATCTTTATTAGCTTCTAACAGTTTCCCTGTTAGAGATGTTAATCCAACTGACCTGCCATTTCCTGCTTTCTGCCTTCCTCCCTTTTTGAATAAAGGAATAAGGTTTACTATTTTCAGATCGAATGGAATCTAGGGAATTTTGTAAATTTAAAACTAATGGATCAACTCTCTCACTTGACCCCTATTTTGAGATGATTTGATGAAGTCTATTAGGACCAGGGGACTTGACAGCTTGCAGTCGTATCTATTTGCTCAGTGTCACTTCACTG